TACTCCCCTCTATGAACACGACTTCTCGCATAAGCTTATTTCGAATCTCCACGGCAGCAAAAACGACATGGCATATCTCCTCCTCCCGAGTCTCTTTCCATCAGTCGGTCTCCTCTATCTCCCCCCTCACTCTTGACTGACAGAGCAGAATAAAGTGGCAAGGTGGACTCGCACGTAACAATTGGCCGCAAATAGAGTGAAGAATGCGGAAGAACGTCATCTACGTGTATCGTTTATCAACTTACCGTTCTCCCATCATCACCCTCATTGATAATTCTAGTTATTGAAATTTATATTATTTATATTATTTATCTATTATTGACCATTATTGCAGCAATTATTAGTTTACTAATTACTCACTTCCTCACCCTACTAAAAACTCTATCACCTTTCAGACATTAATATGTTACTAGCAATTATTACACGTTGGGAGAACAAAGTAAACAACGGGCTAAATTCACAGGTGGAAACGCAAAGTTGTCACTCTTGACGCTGCATTCTCGCACGATAACTCACATGTGAATCTATTTGTAGCAGTATGTATATATTGTAAGCAGTAGTTATTATTGTAGCAGTATGTATATATTGTAGGGCAGTAATGTATATATGGATAATTACGCTAAAGACCTCCTATTACCTTCTTTACAATAAAGTGAATTAACGTCATGTACACTCATCTAGCACCAAGCGCACCATCAGGAGTTTCACTCATTTGTTGTTATTTGTACAAAATACCAAATTCTCATGAAAAACAACTTTACGCTCCTGTTCTTCCTGCTTTAACCTTTTCATGCATAACACTCATCTAAACCACCGGCTCTTTTTTATTATCCGCCCTCTCCTCCCTCGTTTAGCAGGCCTTGGCCTGGTGCAATATACAATCACCAGTCCTGAGGAGATGCCACTCCGGTATCCACTGAGACCAGTACTGGGGAATAGTGGTAGACAACTAGAAATTACCCAAATCGTTCTATGATTGTTCTTTGCAAATTTAACCCGAACCTGCTCGAAATACTATCCTTTTTATCAGCCGTTGAGAGCCGCAGTTTTGCAGGAATATTACATCGGTCTAGTAACCGTTATGCTGCTGTCACTCTTCTAATTGTGACAAAAAATGGGGATTTTTCTTTTCTAGCCTCAACATTCTTATACCCAATTCGGTAATAATCGTCGAACGTAAAGTCAATTTATAGCACTCGGCCAGTACTAATAACTGCTATGTCATCCATATTAATGTGAATAATAATAACTAACTAATTAATTAAACTACTACATCTAGATAACTCGAGACAGCACTAATAATAATAGCCCTATACATGATATATAATGATAATAATAGCACTAAAATACAATAAGTAAAATCGCTCATTCCTCGTGTCTCCTATCCTCGAGCTGGCTATCTCTCTCCTGGATCCTCCGGCTCCCGGCGGAAGTATGCCCGTTGCATACGATGGAGACCGTTGCCACTGGCCGGCCCCCCTTGTTCGAGCCCGCCTGCGTGTCCATGGGCACGACACACCGACGTCACACACTCCTCCTCTTCTCCTCCTTCTGCCATCTACTCTGATTCCTTCTCACCCTCTCTCCCGCCCCTACCTTTCCCCTCACTCCTCTCTCCCTACAGCAGACAAAGCCATCAACATCTTTGTAACCTGCCTGGCACGCACACTACACTAACGTCACACCAAACACCGTCCCTCCCGTCCCGGCTCCGCACACTCCTGGCTCCTCCTCCCCTCCTAGCCGCTACACAGACAACGCACAACCATTGTAAACATCGGTCCCTGCAGCATCACACGCAACAAACCCTTCTCCCTCCTCCCTCCGCTCTTCAGCGCCTCCTACTCCTCCTCCATCACCATTCTCCCTCCTCCTCCTCGCCTCGCTCCCATCAACCGTCTCCGCCCTCCAGTCCCTACCCACATCAACGCACACATTGTAACTGGCCTGCCAATAGGCACCTCCGACCACGATCACCACTACTCTAAGCACACAGCCTTCTCCCGCTCCTCCTCCGGCACTCACCTACAACAGACAACCACACATTGTAAGCGCGCGTGAGCACACAACGTCACACCGCCACCTCCCTACAGCACGACAACCACACATTGTACTACGCTGCCTCGTGCTCGCCACGTTCTCTACACACTCACCATCATCTTCCCCTCCCTCCTCCTCTCTGCTCATCGTCTCCCAAATCCTCCCTCCTCTTCCTCCCTCCTCTTCGCACCGTACTCTAAACACATTCTCGCACACACGTCACACCCTCCCTCCACCTGACCCATCCACCTACTCCTCCATCCATACGTTCTCTTGCCTCCTCCTGCCCTCGCTCCATCACGTCTTCCCTCCTCCTCCTCTCTTCCTCACGCCTCCGCCAACGCTACTCTTAACACACCTTCTCCCCTCTCCTCTCCCTCCTCCATCACAGTCGTCGCCACCGTCTTTGACCTCGCTCGCTCCTCCGCTCCACGTAACTTTAACAGCGTGTACCTTCTCTCTCCTCCTCCGGCCCCTTCCTCCCGTCCTGCCATCACCGTCCCTCCTCCTCACGTCAACTAACTATATCCTCCTTTCGTAACGCCTTGAGCTATCACACGGTCACAACACCTACCTCCTAACCACCTGCTCCCCTCCTCCCTCTTCTGGCCTCCTACTCAATCACTTCTCCCTCCTCCTCCTCCGCTCCTCCATACACCGCCACCTCTCTCCTCCTGCCTCTTATTCGCTCCACCTACTCTAAACACCTGTCCTCCCGCTACCACGAGAAAAATCACACCTACTTGTACGCCGGGCCCTCTCCTGCAGCACACCACGTTAACTACCTCCTCCTCTCTCCTCCTCAGCCTCCTCCATCACCGTCTCCCCTCCTCCTCCTCTTCACTCCTCCTCCTCCCCCTACTCCATCACCTTCTACACGACTCGCCACCTCTACTCCATCACATTCCCTACACAGGACAACCACACATTGTAACCCCTGCAGCACACACGTCACCACTCCTCTGCCTCCGCCTCCCTTCCCCACCCACTCCCTACAGCAGACAACCACACATTGTAACGCGCCTGCAGCACACAACCGTCACACGCCACTCCCTACACAGATAACGCACCTGTAGCGCCTGCAGCACACACGTCACACCGCCACCTCGCCTACACAGACAGACCACACATTTGTAACGGGCCTGCGTGTCTGCAACCACAACACGTCACACCGCCACCTCCCTACACAGACACCCACACATTGTAACGCCTGCCACACACACGTCACCCGCCACCCTCCCTACACGATAACGCACACATGTAACGCCTGCGTTCCTCAGCACACACGTCACACCGCACACCGTCCCTACACAGACAACCACACATTGAACGCGCTGCGTAGTCCTGCCAGCACACCACTTCACATTCCGCCACCTCCCTACACAGAAACCACACATGTAACGCCCTGCCAGCAGCACACACGTCACACCGCCGCCAACCTCCCTACACAGACAACCACACATTGTACGGCCTGCGTGTCCTGGCAGGCAACACGACGTCAACACCGCCACCTCCTACACAGAGCAACCACACATTGCTAACGCCTTGCAGCACACACGTCACACAACCGCACACCTCCCTACACAGACAACGCACACATTGTACGCCTGCGTGCGCTGCAGCACACACGTCAGACACGAAACCGCACCTCCCTACCAGACAACCACACTTGTAACCTGCAGCACACACGTCACACCGCACCTCCCTGACACAGATACCACAACAATTTTTGTAACGGCCCTTGCCAAGGCAACAACACGTCACAACCACCACCTCCCTACACAGACAACCACACATTGTAACGCCTGCGAGCACGACACGATGCACACACCCACCGTCGCCTAGCACAGACAACACACATTTTGTAACGCCTGCCAGCACACACGTCACATACGACCGCACCTCCTACACAGAACACACACATTGTAACGCCTGCAGCACACACGCACACCACACCTCCCTACACAGACAACACACACATTGTAACGCCTGCAGCACACACGTCCACACCGCCACCTCCCTACACAGACAAACACACATTGACGCTGCCAAGCACACACGTGCACACCAACCACCTCCGCTACACAGCAACCCACACATCTGCTAACGCCTGCCCAGCACACACGCACACCGGCCACCTCCCTCTACAACAGACAACCACACATTGTAACGCCTGCACCACAGCACTCAGCACCGCCACCTCCCTACCACAGACAACCACAACATTGTAACCCTGCAGCAGCACAGCAGCGGTCACAGCGCCGACCAGTCCCTGGAGCTACCACGACAAACCACACATTGTAAGCGCCTGCAGCAGCACACGCACACACCAACTCCTTACACAGACAGACGACACATTGTAACGCCTGCGTGTCCTGCCAGCAACACAGTCACACTGGTCCCTCCCTACCACAGACAACCACACATTGTAACGCTGCCAGCACGACACGTTCCACCCGCCACCTCCCTACACGACAACCACACATTGTAACGCCTGCAGCACACAGTCACACACCACCGTCCCTACACAGACAACCACACATTTGTAACGCCTGGTTCCTGCCAGCACACAGGCGCACGTCCGCCCGTTCCTACACAGAACAACGCACACATTGTACCTGCAGCATAAGCACATCACGATACACACCGCCAACCTCCGCTACACAGACAACCACACATTGCCTACAGAGAGTGATGAGACGCAGAGAGAGAGAGAGAGAGAGAAGAGAGAGCAGAGAGAGAGAGAGAGAGAGAGAGAGAGAGAAGAGAGAGAGAGACAGAGAGAGAGAGACATAGACAACGGCACACAGACAGAACGCGGTACTGACCTCTGACCTCTCCATCGTCAACCGTGAACTATTGCCCCGCGCCGCCTCCATCTCCTCCAGCGCTGACAAGACCTCAGCCTGCCATGCAGCATAATCATCAGCTCCATACAGCTCGCTCGCCATCCCTGCCGCCCCGCTCCGCACCCGCCGCGCGCGCCCTCCAGCGCCGGCGAGACGTCCGTGATAGGGGGCGCCATGAACGCGGCGGCGTCGACAGCGCGGGCCCGCGCAGCGGGCGACGAGCCGACAGCGAGAGCGCGTACGCGCTGAAATACACGCGGCGACGAAGTGCAAACGCCGCGAAGGTCAAACGCAAACGAAGGTCAACGCGCAGCGGCGAGACAACCGCGTGGCCGCAATTAGAGGCCATATATTATTATATATATTGGTTGTGTAACTGTGTTATATAGGCGTATTGTTGTATATATATATATATATATATATATATATGCGTGCATGTATTTCGTGTTGCAAGTCGGCACTCGCACGCTAGACCAAAATGGTAAACAACTCCTTTCAGCATGCGATCCGTAAACAGCTGCTAACATGTAAACATGCAATCTGTAAACATGTAAACATGCAATCTGTAAACATGTAAACATGTAATCTGTAAACATGTAAACATGTAATCTGTAAACATGTAAACATGTAAACATGTAATCTGTAAACATGTAAACATGTAATCTGTAAACATGTAATCGGTAAACATGTAAACATGTAAACATGTAAACATGTAAACATGTAAACATGTAAACATGTAAACATGTAAACATGTAAACATGTAAACATGTAAACATGTAAACATGTAATCGGTAAACATGTAAACATGTAAACATGTAATCTGTAAACATGTAATCGGTAAACATGTAAACATGTAAACATGTAAACATGTAAACATGTAAAGCGTAACCATGTAAACATGTAATCTGTAAACATGTAATCGGTAAACATGTAAACATGGTAAACAGCGTAAACATGTAACATGTAACACACGTAAACATGTAAACATGTAATCGGTAAACATGTAAAAACATGGTAAACAGCGTAAACATGTAACCATGTAAACACGTAAACATGTAAACATGTAATCTGTAAACATGTAAAATGTATGCTGTACACATGTATCGGTAAACATGTAAACATGTAAACATGTAATCTGTAAACATGTAATCGGTAAACATGTAAACATGTAAACATGTAAACATGTAAACATGTAAACATGTAAACATGTAATCTGTAAACATGTAAACATGCAATCTGTAAACATGTAATCATGTAAAACATGTAATCTGGTAACATTGGCTAGGTCGAGTGTAGCCCAGTCATGTTAAGGCCAAGACACACTGCAGCGACAACGACCGACCGTAACGACAAACGACTTTTCAGAAAATTAGAAAACTATTGTTTCCTATGAGCCATTGCAGCACACACTCGACAACGACCGCGACAACCTCGACGACAAAAATATTTAGAAACGTTTCTATTTTCCAACGACTGTCGCCCGCGACGCTTTACAAATAGCCAATCGCAGCTGTTCCATCGACATGTGACATTACGATTACGTCATGAATAACGTAATGCTAGCCAAGACGTAGACTGGTCTCCGGCGCTAAACTCGCGACGCATGTCACAAACAATGGGGCCGCGAACCAGTCTAACCAAAGCGTGCAAGCTGTGACAAGCACGTACAGTACATGATATTGATAATTTGCTTCGTATATTTGACTTAATTATCTTATCCTTATACATAGAGAGTTTGTGCAGGCTGTTAATTAAAAGCAGCAGCAGGAGTTTTTGCCGTTTGTTCATGTGATGATGTGTACCACTGTGGCGAGTGCTGCGTGAACTTTGACCTAACGTCGGTCGCTGTCGCTGCAGTGTGTTTGCGCCAGTCGCTGTCGCTGCAGTGTGTTTGCGCCAGTTGCTGTCGCTGCAGTGTGTTTGCGCCAGTCGCCGCGACTTTTGTCGTTTGTCGTTACGGTCGGTCGCTGTCGCTGCAGTGTGTCTTGACCTTTAGACTGTAACGTATGCAGTGTGCACATGTATACCTTGTGGTGCTGGGCATGGTAGAGAGCGACGCCACCAACCAGAAGAGTTCCAGTGCAGTACCTATAAGCATGACTTCATTAGAACACCTGCCTCTAATAACACAGCATGGAGGAGGAATCAGGAGAAGTGCAGGCCGGGCTACCGCTGGCATTTGCCACCATTGCAAAATGAGTTTTAAAATAAATGAGTGGCGATTTTACGACACTATGTGGCGAATACAATTGGCAAATGAATTAACTTCTCAGAAAATCACCATTGAATGTCAAATTTTAGTGTCGTGTCGTAAAATGTTTTCGTACACTTCTTTTTTTCATACCCATCACCTGTTTATGCCTTGCTTAGTACATACGATAAAGTAAACATTGGCTATATTTTTCAATTGGTGCTAAAAAATATCTTTGGTGACTCAAGTCTTGGCTCAAATTTTAAAACATTCAGAGGGGAGCCCTGGAAGTGTTGGAAATAGCAGCCCGTCCCCTAAACGGACACCGGTAACTTCTCAGCAGAACTGGCTTTTTCGTAGATTTTACTAGAGGTTATATGGTAGAAATAAAAATTGTTCCTGGCTCAGGAAATATACTGGGACCAGTAACTTTTCAGTAGACTCGCCACTTTTTGGTGGTATTCACTAGAGGTTATGTTGTAGAAATAAAAACAGTTCGAAATCAGGACGGTCTAACCTTTCATATGTCTTTCCAAGAATGCATTAGCAAGTGATAGTCTAACCACACGTTGAAATTACAACCGATCTCGCTACGATAATTTACCTCGACTATCAGCAGATGGTGGCGCCCCTTGCTAGCAATGCTCCCAAGACAGTGACCCATTAAAATTTCGCGTGAATTGAATTAAAGTGTAAATTCCTGCTGGGCAGGCTTAAGCAACAATTCGCCCGCTGCTGGGCGTGTGTACCTGACAGCTAGTGCGCCCCCTACTGGGCTCACTTACCCGACAGTGCGCCCCCTACTGGTTGCCTGCCATCCCACGAAGCTTGAGAAGGATCTCGAATTGTGAGCTGCCTTCCTCAACATGTGAAACACCTTCATCTCCTGCTCATATATAGATGACACGACAGAATGATGGTTTAACATGTGAAAATTTGTGATGGAATTCACTGCCAATCAATTGTGAGATTAAAGTGTCTTTATGTTATAGAGCGACATGGGGACAGGGGAGGGGAGAGGAAGAGAGGAAGAGAGAAAGAGAGAAAGAGAGAGATAGAGAGAGAGAGAGAGAGAGGGAAAGAGGGGGAGGGGGAGGGGGAAAGAGAGCGAGAGAGAGAGAGAGAGAGGGAAAGAGGAGGGAGGGAGGGATCGAGGGAGAAAGAGAGCGAGAGAGGGGGGGGGGAAGAGAGAGAGAATCAGCCAAGAATTATCAATCTCGACAGTGATACAATGAGAGAAAATGTGAATAGCCATACGATTCGTAGGACGAGTACATAATAATCCTATAATAAATAATAATAATAATAAAATAATAATAATTAACAGCTGTAGCCTACTACCAGTACTAGCTAGACGAAATGCCACGCAATAACTCACGTAACTGCTCTAATTCTGTAACCGAGACAGAACCAGAAGACTGATTATTCATTCATTTACAATAGACGCCTGAACCTATCAGACGACAAGTTGTTCTACCGATTAATATAATATGACTAGCGTCTCGAGTCAAATTCTTCATTCGAAGATGTGATTTCACTACCGGCGATTCCCGGAAGCGTGATTTTTTTTCCTAGGTCAATGCAAGAACATAGGGCTGTAATGAGCGCTGCTATTGGTTGAGCTTGTTTTCTCGCGTTATACATAGCAACATCCAAAACTGTTGTTATCGTTATGACTGCGATAGCGCTAGCGCGTATATCGCTGGGGGAAAGTATGAAGGGTCGGAGGATCGAATCCCATCGGGCGTTTTCTAAATTATTTTTCTGTTTATGTATTTTCTAAGTCTTTATCTGTTTAACATTTTTTCCAATTAACACAAATATTTACATGATTTATTTAACAAAATTTTAATAACAGCAATTAATTTTTACAAACAATAAAAAATTAAATTTTTTATATATTTGTTTAAATAGGGTTTGGGTGAGAGTTAGGATTAGGGTTAGGGTTAGGATTAGGTTAGGGTTGGGGTTAGGGTTAGGGTTAGGGTTAGGGTAGGGTTAGGGTCACAATGCAGTGAATGCACCATAAACAGGAGTTTTGAGGCACGTGATTTGTATCAACAATGGCAGCGCCCGTTAGAGGCCCTATGTTCTTGATTGACCTACGGAAAAAAATACACGCTTTCCGCGGAATGCGTGCCAAGGAGAAAGCAATTTGTCCCCAGAATTCATTGCACCAACTATGTGGCCTCACACCACATAAATATCTTATGGTATTTACAAGTCAAGGCGGCTATATCGAATGCGGAAAAGAGAATAAAGTTGATCAAATAGACAGATCAACACGTATACTTCGATCGTATTAGAAAAAGCCGTAGGCCCTATGACTATCACTATACATGTACCAAAAAAAGATCGACACGAAACCAAACACAAACGCCGCACTCTACAGATCTCGGTCTGAACCGCAAGGATCTTCGTAGCGCTGAGTCGACTTTTATTCCTCTCACAGTGGACTAGCTCGCCTACAATCATAATATTATTAATATTGTATACTTGGGTTCGTGATAGAATATAAAACTCGAAACAACAGAAAGAACACGCGCACACACGCACGGCACGCACGCACGCACGCAAGCCGTACTATATATATATATATATATATATATGGGTATTGGGCTCTAAGACTATAGTTATTAACGAACGCTGCAAAGCTTGTAACATGTATCTGTGTAGGAAAGTGGAAACAATTTATGCTTTCTTGCGATCGCTAAACCACCTGCCTGCGCCTAGCGGTACTTCTA